CTAACAATTGGATGCTTAGGATTTGACTTCTCCGGCTGCACACATCATTTCCTTCACGATTTTTAACAGGGCAAGTAGCGATCTGATGCTCAGAACTTCCGCAACGAAGACATTTCCTCATTTTACGCCAACAAGCATCCTCGATGTGGTTTGTCTTACCACAATATCCACAGCTTGTTCGAGGAGCGAGTATAGGACCTCCTTGAGAGATAGGCTTCTGTTGTCCCCTTCCACTTTGAGCCCCTTTGGATGGAACTCCTCTCGATGTCCCTGAGGTTCAAACTCCACCCGTACCCCTCCCAAACTTAGGAGGTGGTACATTTTGATCACCTCGCCCGGTGGTACTACTAGATGCGTCATGCCACTTGGCTTGAAAGGTCCGGACTTGGAATCGGGCCTACTCCACTCGTTGAGCTTTCTCGAGGGGATCTTTAAATATATCGATTTGAGCTGCAGCTAAGTCCTTTTGAATCTCCACATTCAAATCTTGTACAAACCACCTTATGCACTTTTGCTCATTGACCACCAGTTTCGGAGCAAATTTGGAGAGTCGGGTGAACTGGGTCTCATACTCCGCTACGCTCGAAGTGCCCTGGTGCAGTTTGATAAATTCATCTTCTCTTTTCTCCTGGATTAAGGGCGGAAAGAACTTCTCGTTAAACTCCCCAGTAAAGTTCAGCCAAAGTACGGGGAGTTTGCTCCCTCTCCCACTTTGCCCTCACTATGTTCCACCAGGAACGGGCCGCACCTTCCAACTGAAAAATGGCGAAGTCACTTGTCTATCCTCGGTATAGTGTAACGCAGAAAAAGTATCCTCCATTCGTTAAAACCAGTTCTCGGCAACTTCGAGATCCAGTCCACCAAGAAATTTAGGAGAAGAGAACTTTTGGAACCGTTCCAGGGCCCTATCTTCACCTACTTCAGGATTCCTTGGCTGGTTACTAGGTATTTGACCTTGCTGGTCAAATAACCGGGCTAATAAATTAGTCATACGGTTGATAGCTGTAGCAACCTAGTCCCCTCCTTCGTTTTTGGGTCCTTGGTTCTGATTGGCTACAGACCCTTGTTCTTCCTCTTGGTCCTGGGTCTGCCGATGTCCACGCCCACTGCCCCGAGCACGTAGTCGTCTACCTTCCATTATCACTCACTGGGCTAAGGTTCAAATATTACAACTAATAGGTAAGCAAGTTTTGGGTATGCAATAGATACTTATTCAAAATCGAACGTCAAAGAAAAATGAAGATCGAAATCACGATAAGCAAGGGAAAGCACAAAGCAGTTAAATGCCAATTCGAAATAAAATCAAGTCAAAGTCAAAGTCACAAGTCAAAAGTCAAAGTCAAAGTATTATACATTTAAAGCCTCATAGCAATCATTTACAAGCTAACAAGACCAAAAGTATCAAGTACGAGCCTCAAAAGTACAAGCACAGTTCATCAAGTCATATCATGCAAAAGCCAGTGTACACAGTCAAAAGAAAACTGTACAACCACCAAGTCAACACATCCCCTATCCTTTCTATGTATAACGGTCAAAATCATCCACAATCCTAACCTAGAAGTGAAGACCTAATCCACTGCGAGACTAGCTGACCCCCCGTCCTGGGCAGGTTCATCTCCTCCCTCGCCTCCAATGTGGGAAGCCTCATCGCTCACATCTCCAAGTAGGTCATCACAAAATGTTCAGGATCGACTCGGCTCTAGTCCTTACTTTCATAGCTCTCATAACCATGCACTCCTGAGCCTCCCCCAGCTGCACGCAAAGATCATCAATCCTTTCCTGGCCTTCGACCATATCATACTCGAGCTCCTTAATCCGATCGGCTTGCATTTTATTAATTTCCTTCAACTGATTCACTTCAACTTCAAGCCCGGAATTTTCTTTCGCCAGCTCCTTCCTTTCCTCCACCACTGCCAAGACTACTGTATTGGGATAGGCATAAGTATGGTGGCACTCGCAACGCCGAAAAGGATTGGCTGGACTCCAGCATATGGTAGCTCCTTCGGACCTAATCTGGTACTTAATCATAGGGAGTACTCCACGGGTGGCTCGCCAACTGGACTGTCACTAGGGCCACTATGTCCGGCCATCCTACACAAAGTGCAGAGAAAACTTAAGTACTCTTAAGGGAAAAATGGTCAAATACAATCCTCAAGTAGGAAATTTTTAACACGCCCAGGCCAATTCAAACCTAGGCTCTGATACCACCTGTGATAGCCCCACCTCTCCCTAGGGCGAACCGTAGGGTATCAGCGGACTGCCTGCCCAGCTCTTACCGGGGCTCAGTCGATTAAAGAACTAGCAACTCAAGATAACCAGTGAAATAACTTCAAATCAAAGCCTCATGGCATATAATCGTCAAGCCAACTTTCCAAACTTAGAATGTCAAGCTAAATGTCAAACTTACCACTCCACACTACAATTACATAACATAAGTCGAACTCATGAATTCAAACTTACAAGAGTCAAAAGTAAAGTCAACTAAGCAAAAGGTTATAATTCAAAGTACAAGTTCAAGCAAAAGATAAAGCTTTGAAAGCTCTTGCCCCTATGTCCATTCCACATCTGTTAAGGAAAGCAAAGGGAGTGGGTGAGCTAAAACTCAGCGAGGTTCCAAATAAACAGATACGCACGTAGCCAAATAAAGATGTAAGGTAAACAAGTAAACATAGTATTGTACTACAACAATGTAATCACAGTTCAATTCAAGGATACGGGTGGCTTCCAAAAGCCAAATCCACTTGAGCTTGATCATACAAGAATCCGTTGACTCTCCATCAACGTTTGCATTTAAAGAATTCAATGTCCGTAGAACTCCATTTTCTCCAATTCCCGTCCACCAGTCAACCCCCTTACTAGGCCAGAACTCCTCAAACAGTAAGTAGGTAATACTCGAGTATACCGGTTTCTAGTTTTCAGTAAACAGTCCTTAAGGTTTATCGACCTTCTCGACCAAGCTCTTGCTGGCTCGATACAACCGACTCACCTATGAGGTTGGGTACCCAAACAATAGCAGTAGTTGATGAGGTATCACCCAAACAACTCAAACACAGTCACATATAGAGAAATCACATCTCATAATAACAGTATACAGAGCCTCAGTGGAAACAAGGGAGGTCGAGTGCGATAAAATACACGCTCGCCTCAATTTTTATCAAAACAATATTTGCCACAAACAGTCGCAATTCAAGTGTTCAGATATTTCACATGAATAGTTAACAGGTAGTGGAACACTCACCTGTCAAGCAATGCAGTGCTCAAACGTCAAGTCCCTCGGTTACGTTCACCACCGTTTCCCAATCCTAGGGCAACGAGTGAAATCGTTAACAAACTAGGTTCAATTCCAAGCCAAATGCGAGCTCATTAGGTGACCAAGTGAGTGGTTAAATCTACTCAATTCACCATGCAAGTTAGGCTCAAAATGTAGTAAAAGTTCATGAGAAAACAAGTTTGACAAGTGAAAGAAGTTGGGCAAAAGAAAAGTTTCATTCAAGCTCAAAATGTTCTTCACGGGTAAAACAGTCGCGCCCGCGCAGTCTCGGGAAAACGGCCATATCTCACTGTAGTAAGGTCAGAATCAAGTATTGTCAGTGGCGTTGGAAACTAGGCCCAAAGGGATTTCCAACGGTACCAAATGCAGACTCTTGTACATATTCTATCTGTAACAGTAGCTCAGACAAGTTGGCTGATTTTCCAGTCCTAATCAGCCCTAAACCCTAGTAAAGTTGCACTAGCTCTTGGTGTAAACTTCACTTGTTTTGGGTCAAATTCATCCAATTTAATCTCCTATGGTTCATATACAGGGGAGAAAGTTATTTAGTATCATTAGAGCTCAAAATGCAACACACAAAAATGATTAAAAGAACCATAACAGTCTAGCCATCAAAAGGAACCAAAACAGTCCACTAGTGGTCCAAACAACCACATTACTTGCTTCATTTCTATATTAATTCACACCAAACCTTAACCAAATGTTTAGCCAAGTTTCTTAGGCTTAAATAAGGTGCAAATGAATCACAAAATCAAGGAGAAACCTCATCTACTTAACCGGTCAGCCAAGGGGAAGAAAAACAGTCCACTAGTTCACTTATGTCACCAACTTTCATCCTTTCATTGTTTTCACTTAAACAACATGTCAAGTGTTATCTCTAATTCAAAAAGGGTTCAAAACATGTTAATACATAAAAGAAATCTATGAACAAAGCTCAAACATTTCATCAAACACATGGTCGGCAAACTAACTAACCCTACTACCACCTGTTTAGTTCAAGAAGATTCACCACAAATATCATCCAAACAACTTCTAGTTTGCCATCAACTCTTAAAACATTTCATATAACACAAGAAAACTAGGATTTAAGGTTCATGTACCTCTCTTCAATGAAGCTTGAACCACCAAAATAATCCACCAACACCAAAGCTCTAGGCTTGAAACACACTCTAGGGTTGAAGGCAAATCACTTAGCAACTCAAGCTCTTTCTCTTATGATTTTTGTTCAAGTTCAAACTAAGGTTGTAATAGCAAGAAGATGGAGTTTTCTTCCTTCCCTTGGAAGCTTCAAGGTGCCCGAAATTTTGGAGGAAAAAAATGAAGCAAAGTTGGTTTAAAATTCCTCTAATCCTTTGGTCAAACAAGGTGGATGGCTAGGGTTTGGCCACTTGGCCCAATCTTGGCCCTTTCTTCCCTTAATCTTTTGACTAATGAAGTTTCTATCCTCCAAATGTACCAATACCTATTTAACACCTCTAAACTATCATATAAATTTCCAACTACTAATAGAAGGACACTTGGTCAATGTGTGTGTGGTGAAATAAAATAAAACCAACTCAAGGAAATGTTGCAATCTAAATAAGAATAATAAAGTGCAATATAAGGAAATGTTATAATGCATGTAGAATACAATGCAAGGACATGTTATAAGTGATTTAAATCTTAGGGCAAGGCATGTAGTTTAGGAAAAATTGTGTTTTAAAGTGAGGGTTCTCACACTCTCTCCCCCTTAAAGAATTTCGTCCTCGAAATTCTGACATTGATCACTGAATAGCTTAGGATATTTTGCACGAATGTCCTCTTCCACTTCCCAAGTAGATTCCTCTACCTCGTGATTTCTCCACAAAACTTTTACCAAAGGTATCTGTTTAGTCCTTAATTCCTTTACTTTTCGATCTAAGATCTGCACCGGCCTTTCTTCATAAGTCAGAGATTCGTCAATGTCAATGTACATGAGTGGGGTCTGGATGATACTTCTTCAACATGAAAACGTGAAATACATCATGTATCCTGGATAGACTCGCTGGTAACTCAAACCTGTATGCTACATTCCCAACTCGTGGAAGAATTTTGAATGGTCCTACGTATCTTGGTTGAAGCTTCTTTCCTTTGCCCGCCGTGAGACTTCGAAGTGGTGTAACCTTTAGAAATACCTTGTTTGCAACTTCAAACTTCAAATCCTTTCGTCGATTATCCGCATAACTCTTCTGTCGACTTTGCGCTATCTGAAGCCTCTGACGTATCACTTTCACCCTCTCATACGCATCCTCGATCCATGGTACTGCAACTGGGTCTAAAACTCTTCTTTCCCCTACTTCATCCCAGAATATTGGTGATCGGCATTTCCTTCCATAAAGAGCTTCATATGGCGCCATTTGTATGGAAGAATAGTAGCTATTATTGTATGCAAATTCAACTAACGCCATGTATTGTCCCCAACTTCCACCAAAATCCAAAATACAGGTCCTCAACATGTCTTCAAGTGTTTGAATGGTTCTCTCCGACTGTCCATCAGTTTAGGGATGGTAAATATTACTAAAAGTTCAACTTGGTCCCAAGGAGTCCTTGTAATTGTTGCCAGAAACGAGACACAAACTGCGGGTCTCTGTCAGAAACAATGCTCACCGGGATCCCATGCAATCTCACTATCTCGTCCATGTACAGTTGGGCCAATTTCTCCAAAGAGTGTCCCATATTTATAGGCAAAAAATGAGAAGATTTGGTCAACCTGTCTACTATTACTCAAACGACGTCGTGACCCTTCTAGGTATGGGGTAACCCTAATACGAAATCCATGGTAATATCTTCCCATTTTCACTCAGGGATTTCAAGAGGTTGTAGAAGACCTGAGGGTTTCTGATGTTCAGATTTCACTTGTTGGCACACTAAACATTTTTGGACAAACTGAGCAATTTTTTTCTTCATTTTATCCCACCAATATAGTCCCCTCAAATCCTGGTACATTTTACTGCTCCTGGGATGTACTGTATACTTAGGCGGATGTGCCTCTCCCAAAACGTCCCCTTTTATCACTTCATCTTACGGTACCACTTTCCGATCACGAAATTTCAAAATACCCTTGGAACTCACATTAAAGTCTGAGATTTCCCCTTTTTGTACTTCTTCTACCCATTTTTGTACCATCTGGTCATTCTTTCGAACTTTTTTAATTCGATCCAACAAATTAGATCTCACCGTGATATTACCCAAAATCACTTTCTGTCGCTCCAATCGTGGATTCCATTCACTCACTTTTTCCTATAAACTCCACTCCTTGACCATTAATCCAGCTAATTGAATTTTTTGACTTAAAGCATCCACTACGACATTGGCCTTCCCCGGGTGGTAGTTAATTGTATAGTCATAATGCTCAAGAAATTCCACCCACCGATGCTATCTCAAGTTTAGCTCCTTCTGAGAGAATAGTTATTTCAAACTCTTATGGTCGGTATAAACTTCAAAAGTCATCCCATATAAGTAATGCCTCCACTTCTTTAGGGCACAAAATTACAGCGGCCAACTCCAAGTCATAGGTTGGGTAATTTTGCTCATGTGGTTTTAATTTCCTAGAGACATAGGCAATTACACTCCCATTTTGCATTAGAACATATCCCAATCCTTCTCTTGATGCGTTAGTATATACAATGAAGCAATCTTTCCCATTTGGCAAGGCTAAGACGGGTGCCGACGTTAACCGTTTCTTTAATTCCTGGAAACTAGCTTCACACTTAGAATCCCAGACAAATTAACCATGCTTTTTATTCAGGTCGGTTAAAGGTCTTGCTAATTTGGAGAAATTTTTGATGAACCAACAGTAATACCCTGGTAAACCTAGAAAACTACGGACCTCAGTTGGGGTTTCCGGGCGTTTCCACTCAGCTACGGCCTCTACTTTCACTGGATCCACAGAAATGCCATCTTTAAATATTATATGCCCTAGAAAAGAAATTTGCTCCTACCCAAATTCACACTTGCTAAATTTGGCATATAACTGATGTTCCCTCAAGGTCTGCAAAACTGCCCTCAAATGCCGTTAATGATCCTCTCGAGTCTTAGAATACACCAATATATCATCTATGAACACCACGACAAATTGGTCCAAGTAAGGTTTAAAGACTCTGTAAGGATCGAAGACAACCTAAGAGGGGGTGAATTAGGTTTTCTAAAACCAGCTAAGATATAGGTCACTCTTTTCCAAGCCTACCCTTCTTTTCTCAACGACCACTCAATGGATCAGTTTACAAGAAGGCACAAGTGTTCGTGAGATGAAAAGGTGAACAGTTTATATAGTAAAGCTATAAACGAAAGTAGAGAAACAAACCCGGCTTCGAACTCCACTTGAGTTTGAACAACACTTTATATAATCAAGATACTTCAAGTTGAACAATCTTGCAACCAATTACTTGTGTACAAGGGAAGGATCACTTCCTTCTTGCCCCAAACCTCACTTGGTCAAGCAAGGAAGTTTTACAAACACTCGGATAACCCTCACAATGCTACACTATTGAAGAAGCTGTGTCACACTTGAAAAGCTACAAGAAAATTGCACAAGCTAAGAATACAAATGTTCCTTTGGAGTATTCTAACACTTGAATCACTCACTATCTGATGTAGACTTGATGTGCAAAGTTGTTCTGAGGTGGTTGACTTTGTTCCTTTTATAGGAGACCAAAAAATTCTTCAATTAATGCTGTCAACGGATAGAAGGCATCTGAAGAGTCAACTAGCCGTTGGTGCTGTCGGACGTCCGATAGTCAGTTTTTATGCGTCTGAGCGAGGTCAGTGAGTTCGAGAAATTTTCTTGAACCACTTAGGACGTCCGATCCCCTCACACTATGCGTCCGAGGGTAAGATGCAGACATGGAGGTTCCTCTTCAATTTCTTCGGACGGCCGATGCGTCCAATGTGTTGCGTCCGAAGTGCAGCAATGCTTGTCGGACGTCCGATGCTCAGGTGTTGAGCGTCCGATCGTGATCAGTAATCGTAGATACCCTAACTTGTCTTCTTCGGACGTCCGAGTCTGAGTTCTTCATACGTCCGAAGTTACTCAATGGATGTCGGACGTCTGATACTCTCCTTTTGTGCGTCCGACATCTTCCTCAGCACTTTTTACCTTTTTGATCTTCCTTTTTGCTCTAAGTCCTCAGACCTGTTTAATGTTATTTCTGAAAAGAGTCTCAACAAAAAGTATTAGTAACATCCTTTTGTTTTTTAATCATCAAAAGATATGAATTGAGATAAATAGACTCGATGCATCAAATCCATAAATGCGGCAGGAGCATTTGTTAAACCAAAAGGCATCACCGCATACTCAAAATGTCCATATCTGGAATTAAAAGCAGTATTCGGTATATCTTCCTGCCTAATTCGTAACTGATAGTAACCTTGTCTCGAGTCCAATTTAGAGAAAACCACCGCTCATTGCAACTGGTCAAACAACTCGTCAATATACGGTAAAGGGTATTTATTTTTCACCGTGACATCATTTAAGCCGCGATAGTTTATACAGAGTCTCAAACTGCCATCATTCTTTTTAACAAGTAGAACTTTTTAACAAATAGAACAGGCGCTCCCCAAGGTGATTCACTTTCTCGAATAAATCATCGTCTAACAAGTCCTGTAATTGCAGCTTTAGTTCCTTAAGTTCGGCAGGGGCCATTCGGTATGGCGCTTTTGCAATAGGAGCGGTTCCAAGCACCAAATCGATCTTAAATTCTATTTCCTTCTCTGATGGCATCGACTTCAACTCGTCGAGGAAGACATCAGGAAATTCATTTACTACTAACACATCCTCCAGTTTCACCTTATCTACAGGAGTATTAATTAAGAAGGCTAAGTAACCCTGCGCCCCTTTACTCAATAATGTCCTGGCTCAAATTCCCAAAACAAGTGCAGATGAGGCTAATCTAGCCCTCACATCCAACCTTAGGGTTGCCTCTCCGGGTATAGAGAACTCCACCACTTTAGTCTTGCAGTTCAACTGAGCATTATAACGGGCCAACCAATCCATGCCTATAATCACGTCATACCCCTTTGTTCATCCCAGTCCGTATCTTTTGATGATTACAAAACAAATGGATGTTACTAATATTCCCTAAATAGATGTTTTCAGATTTGGAGCAAAATAGGCTAACATATGTTGAAGCATGTGTCGGACGAATAAAAAGTCTGCATCGGCCGTCCGACAACCTTCGAGTAACTTCGGATGCATAAGGAACTCACTCTCGGACGTCCGAAGATAATAAGCCAAGATTCTCTAAACTCACTAACTTCGTTCGGACGAACAACACCTGAGTACCGGACGTCCGACAAACGGTGCGACACTTCGGACGCAAAGCATTGAAGCACCGGACGTCCTAAACATTTCAAGAAAATTTCTTGAACTCACTGCCTGCGATCGGAGGTGAAAAACCAACCTATCGGACGTCCGACACCACCAACGGCTAGTTGACTCTTCAGCTGCCTGCTATCCATTGACAGCATTAATTGGAGTACTTTTTGTTCTCTTATAAATAGGAAAAAGTCAACCACTTCAGAAGTACTTTGCACATTGAGACTATATCAGATTTTGAGTGATTCAAGTGTGAGAATACTCCAAAAGAAAATTTGTATTCTTAGTTGTGCAATTTTCGATAAGCTTTTCAAGTGTGTTTTAATTTCTTCAATAGTGTAGCTTTGTGAGGGTTATCCGAGAGATTGTAAAACTTCCTTGCTTGATCAAGTGAGGCTTGGGGCAAGGAGGAAGTGATCCTTCCTTTGTACACAAGAAACTGGTTGTAAGTTGATCAACTTGAAGAAGCTTGCTATATAAAGTGATATTCAAACTCAAGTGGAGTTCGAAACTTGGTTTGCTATTCTATCTTTTTACTTACTATTTTGTAATATAAATTGTCTATCTCTTCTGTAAGGCCCCAGTCCGTTCTTAAGTTTGATATTAGGTTATATTCATTATTTGTGCGGTAACATTAGGTTTTGGGACTAATTCGAAAACCCTAAGTTGGGGTTAGGATTGAAACCCTAGTTTTTGTATTACTTATAAGTTCGAGTGGTGATTAAACCTAGTTATGCTAGTGTGTGTGTTTTAGTACAGGTACGTATAAGATTTGATCCATTTTAGATAGGTTAAGTGAGTTTAAAAGTTAGAAAAATCCTAAACTAGAAAAGTTTCTAAGTTTAAAACCCTAATTTTGCCCTTGACAAAAAGGTTGTTATTTAATTGCTTTTATGTGAGATAAACTATGCTTAAGTATAGGTGATTAAGGTAGGAAAGTGGTTAGTGAAGTAATTAAGTGTGATTACATGTTTTGGACTAGACTAAGTTATGACCTATAGAGTTAATTGAAAGAGTTCCAAATGTTTGAGGGCAAGAGTTGATCAAATGCAAAGTTGAAGGTGTAAGGGCTTGAGAGCAAAAGGTAAGCTTTTA